TTACAGAAAAATATGTCTGATATATAATTGTAAACAAATAAAAAAATATTAAAATATAAAATGAAAACATTCTTGAAATTTGAAATTTGGAATTTGGATTGTCGAAAAGGAACAATAAAAAAGATAAAATTATGATGCAATAAAAAAACTTATTTAAATATATAAAACAAAATACATAATGTAATATATATACATATATACATATATACATATATATATATATATATATATATATATAAATTATACAAATAAATTTTTTTCAGTGACAAAGTTCAGCATGAAATTTTGTACTTCATATTTATATTTTCATAATCAAAATAAAGATAAATAATACGAATGGTCACTTCTTTCATCAAATTAATAAAAACTAAATTTATGCAAAATCGCTTTACATATAATTAAAAATTGATAAGATTCTTAATGATAAAAATCTATATATTATAAATTTTAAAATATATTATAAATTTATAAAAGCAGTTTTCTTTGATTTCATATCTTTCTGGAGATTGGCTAAAGTAATGCAAGATTTCTTTCTCTATTATTTACGGATTAAATATTTTCAATAATTTTATTAGTTATGTTAATAATCCGAAAATGTGTTAAAATGCGTTAAACATTAAAAAGCTTGTTTTGATTTCCCTAAAACATATTAAAAAGACATTTGTTTGACAACTAAAAAGTACACTGTAAAAAAGTACAGTAAATTTACACAAATAATAAATGTAAAAATTATATAATTAATATTGTAAATATGAGAAATCACGCAATTTTACAAAAATTGTATAAATTCAAAAAAATTACATAATTTTGTCTATCATTGTGTATTTTCCATATAAAATAAGATATATTTTGTAAATTAAAAATTTACTATATTAATGTTAAAATGCTACTATTGTATAATTTGCAAAATACTACCGTTTGTGCTGTCTAATATTACAAAAATTTGGGTAATTACCTAAAATTTTGAAAATATTCCTTATGTAATTTTCCATATAAAATAAGATATATTTTATCGCTGGTCGCGTAAATTTTAAATTGTCTTGTCACCACAGAAAAATTTGGTTTCTACAACCAATTATTTTTCCCAGGATATATTAAATATGATAAAAACAGTTAAAAGACAAATGACAATAAAAGTTATTGTTCTTTATACGTCAGCGTGACCATTCGACGATCTAATAATGTTCTAAAAATATAAACTTCTAACATTGTGCAATAGCACATTCTCCATCAAATATTGATCATGCGCGTGCCGATAGTACCACAAGAAATTGTCAATCAAGATTTCAAAGTTAGTTGTGCATGCTTCGTTTATGAGTTTCTGTTTGTTAAGATTCGTTGTTTTATGCCTTTTAACCAATTTTAATAATTCGACAGACAGCTGAGATCTTATCATGTACGTGCAAGCGATTATTTCCAGATTCTCTGTGCTCCCAAATTCCAAAGTATCTACAAGAATACACAGCGTATTTTGCTATGATTTACTTAAATCACGGGAAATTCTCCATATAAAAATTAATCATAAACGAGAGATATATTTCCTTAGATGCTCCCTAAACGAAAGCTTTAATTGCGACACATAAAATATCATAATCAATACAAATTTGAGAAAAATACAGAATGCAAATAAATTTCTTTTTTTTTTTTTTAAATAATAATATAAAATTGATAAAATAAGTAATAATGCAAAATAAAAAATTATTTGTGCATTAAAATTTTATCGAAAATAATGCTTATTAATTACTTTAAATTTTTCTTTTGTATTGAAGAAACATTTTCATCGTTAAAGAAACAGACTTTGTAAAGTAGTACCACGTGTAAAAAGAAAAGCATAATGATTTTTTACCATTTTCTTCGATTTTTTTCTTGAGCCTATCGGTATACTGAAGAGCTTTGTATTTAAGAAAAAGTTGAATAATTCGAAAATCAACAAATATCGTGGTAGGGAAAATTGTTTCAATATTGATTTCTTTATGTTCGTGAAAGAAACACACCATGTCACCAATCAGTAAGAAAGCCTTCAGACAGAAAGAAACTGAAAGAGAATTCAATAAAAAATGTACTGCATTATTAAATTTATAACTCAACGCACTCACCGTCCTAATGTACGAATTAATGTATCAAACTCAATGCAATAAATGTAACTGAAATTGATTAATTACAAAGATTGCAAAATATAATTGTACAGCATTCATCACGAACAATGTGCCCATATAATAATTTACTAGAACCCTTTTTCATTTGTTATCTTTTTTATGACTTACAATATTAAATTAAACGTTTTTAGACATATTAACATATTTTCATTTGTAATAAAATATGTCTCGATATGTCTATTAAATAATTTAACTCAAAATTCTTTAAAAATACAAGCTTATGAATTCATTTAATTTTACAATATTAATTCGGGTCTTTCTGTGAATTACTCCGTACCTGTCTCTCCCTCGTATTGCACCATCTTTTCTTGATATGACGGAAAGTTCCTGGCAACCAATATCAGTAAATCAATCCCGTTTTTGTGCAATTTGAGACATGTTACAAATGTGCCTATAATAAATGTACAATATATCTATTTTTTAATTTATCCTTTCTTCCATGTGTGTGAAGCTAGCATATCATATTTTGGCATCGCATGAAAAAACGACAGTTCTGCTCGCATACACTATAGTTCTACAGTTCTGAATAGTTTTTAGCAACAGTTCTATCAAATTACGCAAAAAAACAAGAAAATAAAATTTCAAGAAATGAGATGCTAACTTCCCGTTTTACCTTCCAGCATCTCACCGAATATCGAACGTATGAGCCATAAAGTATGAGTATTCAAAGAGTTCTACCGTTTCAACCCATCATATCAATAGTTCTGGCCATAAGAACAATAAAAAAATTTCTTGTTATTATTAAAAGCATTTCACGCGCTGGAATGTAATATGCTAGCGTCACTAGCAATAGTTCTGGGTTTGTACGAGCATAGAATCATAGTTCCCAGTCCCTGGTATCATTTACATTACAGTTCTATTCAGAAACAATCTTTAAACTATTTGTTTATAATTATTATGCCCGCCAAAAGTGCCTAAATATGATATGTTAGCGTCACTATCGACAGAAACCTTATATTTTTTCACAATAAAAACCACAAAGATTTAATACCGTTTCTTTTCATAAACTTTGTACAGTATTTCAAATCCGCGCATACTGATCTTCCGATTCTCCTGTCCGTAGTGAAAAGTAAAGCGTCAGTGTTGGAAAGAGCGAGAAAGTGTAAGTGACTATGATTCTATGCTCGTACAAACCCAGAACTATCGCTAGTGACGCTAGCATATTACATTCCAGCGCGTGAAATGCTTTTAATAATAACAAGAAATTTTTTTTATTGTTCTTATAGCCAGACCTATTGATATGATGGGTTGAAACGGTAAAACTCTTTGAATACTCGCACTTTATGGCTCATACGTTTGAAATCCAGTAAAATGCTGGAAGGTAAAACAAGAAGTTAGCATCTCATTTCTTGAAATTTCAATTCAATTTCTTGTTTTTTTGGTGTAATTTGAGAAAAATTGCTATTGCTAAAAACTATTCAGAACTGTAGAACTATAGTGTATGCGAGCAGAACTGTCGTTTTTTCATGCGATGCCAAAATATGATATGCTAGCTTCACACGTCTTTCTTCCTCCTTTTTTTAATAATTCCCATGCGTTATTCATTCAGAACCACTGACTTATTAAACTATTTAATAACCGAGAATAAAACTTAAAAAATATTCATCACTTAAAATAGTTTATTTACAATAATAGTTGTTTATTATTATTTTTATCTGTCTCTTTTATATAT